AGATATAAAGAAGAAATGACCAGATTTTACTAGCAAACAAGAAAATTCCAACATTCTTCTCCAATGAGTTTTTAGTACTGTTACTGGAAATCCTTTCATAAAGAGGCTGCATTACACTCTATTTTGTTATCCTTGAAGTTAACATTTTCTTAAATCGAAAATGTATTTCCAATAATACTTACCTTCGCTCACACTACAGTTATTACTCAACTGCCTGGGTTTCCTTCCTTTGCCTGTCTAAGCATTGGTCTGATTTTTTCTAGCTTGCTCCAGTCTTTTCTTTCCCAATTAATTGCCCTTGGCAATATCTGTCCTGTGACACTTTCCACCTACGTCAATGCTCCTTTCTATCCTGGTATGCTGTATATAAGCACTTCATTCAGATAATATTATCACTTTTATGAGACTGACCCAATCTGCAGTCTTTAATACAGGCTCTTAGTGGGGAAGAAGGGCAGGAGAGTGAGAAAGGAGGTCAGTATTACTGGAACTTCAGAACTACACTCTCGATTTAAGAAAATGTTAACTTCCAAAACATACCAACATGTGCTAGCATTACAGCTAGAATCCCACATTGATAAGTTGGAGGAGCCAGTGAGGGCATTATCCATACAGAATGCATCTGCATAGATCATGGGTGTGCCAATAGAAGATTAGCACCCTAGTGGAGGAACCACACTACATCCAGAACAGGTATCCTCTTCACCCGGAACCAATTCATGCACTGCGAGTGGAATTTCGCATGATCCATCATCACTCTTGGCCAGGCCCCAACCAGATAGCTGAGGCTCCACTGCATGGGGTTGGAATTATAGGGCCATGGTCCCTAAACCCCACGTTGGTGGCTAGGACACTCGGACCACAATATATATATATATACACACACTTGTGAGGGGATCCCAACCTGTAGCTATAGTGTGATGCCTTCCGAGCCACTGGAATCATAACAAGAAGGTAAGTAATACTGAAGTGGACAAATCTTCTCAACCTGATGAAGTCTGAAAGGCAACACCCCAAACTTGGAATGATGGAATCCTGTATGCCATACTCAACCTGAGAAAACATAACTCATCCAGTCTGGAATTATGAACATTCATTCTCACTTCCCAACTTTGTGGGTAGGGTAGATTCCACTTGTCCCCGAAACTATTGGGAGAACGTGGAACAAACTGTGCTCAACTGAAGACCCAGGATGGGACCAATCTGAATTTGGAATTACGAGGAGACAATGGACCCTCTTCTATGAATAATGTACTGAACTAATACTGATCAAAAAAGAAGGCTATGCTCATCCCAACCGGATAGCTGAGCATCAAATCTGAACGGGTATTATTACGAGTAGGTTCCCGCATAGGCTGATGCCTCTACTTCCAAAATCTGGGAAAAAAACATTTAGAGTCCTGAGTAGGAGGCCCCCAACTTTGCCCTCTTCTTCAAGAGTGGAGGAAATTCAGTAGAACACTCTGGAGGAATAACATCTGTTCATCACCCCAATGACTGGAAATCAGCTCCACTAGTAGAATATGAAGGAGTCCCGCATTGTGGAGTCCTGAGGAAAAAAGCAATCTAACCCCAATTTATTCAATCCCATGGTTGGCAAGGATGGACAGGATCCCCTTATGCTTTACTTGTGATAGTCCATGAGAGGAGGTCCAATATAGTATAGTAATACCTGGTCTGCTTCTAGGAACACCTCATTTCTACAGAACTTGATGCAACCTATATAAAGTATATTGTGTTAATGATTGCTAGTGCAGAATTGGTTTGATAAAAGCACACCTGACTGGGCAACACTTGCCACAGAGTGGGATCCCGTGAAAAAGAGGTAAGGGACCCTGGAAAATAAAGAAGAGACAATATTAGTAATGAAGATACACCTCTTTATAATCTAGTGGATGTGGTTAAGCTAGCTACAGGGAGTAGTCAAAAACCCTTGGAGGAAAATACTGACAAATCATGCAAATAATGTGAGATGAAAATATTGGGGAGGTCCACATATGAGCTCACACAATGTCCTCCAGTAGATAATTCAACCAGGCCACTAAGGACATATAAATGAGATGAATATGATGAGACATGATTTGCAGAAGTCTCCTCACTTCCAAAGAGAGCCCAGAATAAACAATACGGATACATTTTCAAAACCACTTCAACAAGATAACTGGGAATAAATCCCAGGAAACTATAGGATCTCAGTGAGTAAAAAATCGTTTTGTAGCACCTCTAAAGGTGTTAGTGCAAGCAACCTAACACTTCAAGGTCCTCACTAGACATCACAAACAATCAGGATCTGTTCAGTCACAGAGATGAGAAATAGCAGTCAGATAAATCAGTGAAAAGGATTTATCCATTTCCCTGGCTGCTAGTGTCTTAGGTAAGAAGGACCTGTCTGAGTAGAATGATAAAGTATCTAACTGGTTATGTTAGTAGGCCAGCAGCAACAAAAAATAAACCCTAAGGGATAGGTGATACATGGTAAATGAGGCTAAGGGCTCAATCGGATGTTGAGAAAGAGCATGTAATACCAGTTTAATATCACATTTAGGTAACTGAAATACTCATTTGGAATGAAAGACCGTAAATGACTTGAGTAGGCCAGAGAGCACTGAGGACTCAAATAAAGTTTGTCTCGAGTATCTAAAGGTAGGACCTCATAACCTCCATGCATGAAGATTGAGCTTCAGGATGGCAGGGTTTACAATGTCAGATTGTGGCTGCTGCAACAGAATTGGCCAAAGAAGAATGAAAGAGGTGAGCACACCTGAAGGTATTGTAAAAGTGGAAACCAGGGTTGAGTCAGGCAATCTGGTGCTATCAACAGAACCCAACAAGGGGTTGAACAAATCATAGCTACTACTCTGGGTAACATGCATATCGGTGGGAAGGCACAGAGATGTAATTCCGTCCAGTCCTGACCATCTATTGCCAAATGCCCGAGGGTGAGGTACGAAAGATCAAAATGCCAGTAGTTGAGTGTTCCAATGAGTTGTAAGTGCATCAATCACCAGTGTCCCGAACCAAGAGTGCATCCAATGGAAAAGCTGGCAATGCAGCATCCATTCTGTCAGGAGAATCCGATTGGGTTGAGACAACTGACCTGCCACCAAATTCATCATCCCTGAAACATGGCAAGCTAGAAAGATGATATGATGGGAGCAGGCCCAATAAAGAAGGTCCAAGGTTTGAAAACAAAGTGACCTGGACCAAATGTTCCTTTGATGGGAAAATTAAGACACCACCGTAGAACTTTCGATGTGAAGCACTATGAATTTTTCCCATTAATAAGTCCAGACCTTGAGACATCACCCTTTGAACAGCAAGAAGTTCTAAACATTTATCATCTGTCCATAGGCCCTTGTATTCCAGAATGCTGAGATATGCACCCATCCCTGAAGTGAGGCATCTTTGGAGAGATGGATCTCTGGACAAGATGGCAGCAGAGGAACACCTTTAATAGTATTGTTTCGATCTAACCACCAGTCTAGCTTGAAGATGTTGATCTTGAATAAGGAGAATGGAGAATCCAGTGAATCACTGTTCATGATACATTGGTCATGTAGAAACCACTGAAGGGATCTCATTTGCTCATCCCAAAGGAATGAGGAATTCGAGTGATGCCCACACGATGTTAGATGCTAACAACAATCCCAACTCATCATCAAATGGGTGTGGCAATCGCTGAGAGACTTCAGACAAAGTTGGAAGGATGATAAATATCTTAGCTCTGTAGTGAGGGTCAAATGAAACCTGGAAAAGTGTGCTATTCAGGTAGGCATCAGACTCTGTTCTGGAATCCCAAATTTCCAGGAACTGGTCTGTTCTTTGAGAGTCTAAATTCGCATCCACTTGGCAGTGGTAAGCTAAAGCATGTTGATCTGACATGGTGGACAAGGCATAGCTGTTCCTTCAGGTAATTGAACAGTAAACCTCCCTGCATGCACCACAATATTAGGAAACAGAGGGAGAACTAAGTTTTTGCCTTCGGACTTTTCCACCATCAAGGCGCAGACTCAAAAGCAACTGGGGAAAGACCCAAGACATCACACATTCCATTTACCAATTGTAGAAAAGGAGCCAGAGAAGGCTGATCCCAATTTGGTCTCCTGAAAAGTCAATAGAATAATAAAGGGCACTGGAAAAAATGAACCAATATTCTCTCCATTATGTCCAGGATCATCCACAACTGCAGCCTCAGAGCAATCTGGAGAAACACCACTGGACCGATTACATGTCTCCATCTCACTACGAAGAAGGTCATAGACAGCCTCAACTGAGAGTGGCTCTCTCTCCAACTGTTGAGTGACACTAGTTATCAGAGGTGGGGTAGGAAACATCCAACTTGCCTTGGTGCTGGAAAAAATAATCCAGGAATTCATGCCAAAAAATGAGCTTGCCAAATGAATTTTTTTTTTTTATGAAAATCAACTAGGTAAGACGAAGAACTCTCAAAGTATCTCCAACGGTCATGGTACAGAAAAACCCCGTAGAGAATGCTTTGTTAAAAAAAGTGATGATAATATCTGAATGGGGTGCTTGTATATAGTACAAGGATAGAGGGCACACTGACTAAGGTGGAGACTATCATCAGACAGATATCACCAAGAGCAATTAAGTGGGGAACAAAAGACTGGAGCAAGCAAGAAAAAATCAGGCCAATGTTAGATGGACAAAGAAAGGAAACCCTAGCAGTCGATTAATAGTTGAAATGCAAGAGGAGGTAAGTATGCTTTGGAATATTGCTTTCAATAAGGTACTTCTGAACTTAAAGTATAGTTAAATGCAATCAAAAACAAAAGTAAGTTTATAATTTGAAACAATATATTTTAACTACTACTTGAACTCACAAAATTTATAATCTTCAAAATTAATACTAACTAACCATACGCTATGAATATATTTTAAAATCATCAATGTATAACTGGTAAAACACATGTAGTTTTATAATATTTAGACAAATCTGATATCATATCACTACATTCAAATCAGAGTATGATTTTTACCTCAAAGCCAAACTTGTACCCTTGGTGGAGCACCTCTCTACACTGAGCTTGGAGGGAACTTCGATCATGATCTTCAAGGTCAGATCGTTTAGCAACATCTAACCTTTCCTCTACTAGCTGCAAGGTGTTAACAATTTTCTCACGAAGATTCAAGGCTTCAACCTAAAAATATAAGACAAAATTAAAATATTTTATACTTTACTTGCATTGATGACAGTTAGAAGAGAAACAGACCAAATGCAAGATTTTGCATAAAGAGACATGGAAAAAAAAGTTTAAACAATTATATAACTAAAATTAAAACAATATAGTACTGTAACAGATCTTATTATGATTCTGAAAATATCTATATTAGTACACTAGTACTGAATGAAACGATCCAATTCTCCCACTGATTTTGGAATGATTTTCTATTCTAAGAAAAACCATTTTTACAGATTTTTTTTGCTGGTTTTCCAACTATATATGTCCATACCAGTTACCTTTTATTTCTTTAATCATAAGTATGGGATGATGGTGGCAGCAATATCCCCCTGTTTAAATTCCTGTATTTGTAAGATACCATTTAATACCACTTTCTGTGTATATACTGTTACAGGTACGATACCCTTTACACGTATTTTAAACATACCTTTCAAGAAGGACAGTTTTATTTTAAATGTATGTTCTGGACAGTTGATTAATTAATTCAAACAAATTTGAAGAATTAGAAAAACAAAAATTTATTTATTTTCTCACACTGAATAAGTTCTTTTTAATATAACTATACCCCAAATTGACAAACAATGAGTTTATTGGCTAGATTGGTATTTACTGTGCTAATAATAATACACTGGCCTGAAAACAATATTTATTATATTTATTTTAAATTTAATTAATAATTTGATTTTTCACCTTTATCCTCAATACTTTAGAAGCACAGACTACATGTACAACGTTGAGGAAAAACAAGAAGTAAATGATAAACGTCTTCTTCCAATAACATAAATGTCACAAACATATTAACTTTCTAGTGGAGTCTTACACAAGTTTTTCAAAATAATATATGTTTATAATTAGTGAAGAATGAATTCCTCATTACGAACAGTAGTTATTGTTTAGGCTGATATTATAATTTTATACAGTTGTTACTGACAAGAAAAATTTAATATTAGTAAGTGAAAAATCACTTTCAATCATCATAATGGTGACCATGAGTGATTAATTATTACTCTCTCATGCTTTGCTTTTAAGTTCAATAAACTGGGATTAGTTTTTACCTCAATTTTATGAGTTTATATTATAACCCCTTCCATAATTTGCTCAAAATAACTTGGGTACCCTCCATGTTTCTGAAAATATTTACCCAAGATAATTTGGTAAAACTATTTCTCATCATAATTTTAATTATTTGCCTAAATTTACTCACATGTTATTATGTATTACAATCAATGCTCACTATATGACATTGGAAATGCTGTTTGTGCTGAGCTCTTTTAAATTCATTCTCAATTATATATCCTAAATATGAGATAAGCTTTCCTATTCTTTATTGTAGTTACATTGAATTAATATATATCAAATAAAAATCCAGATATGTAACATTCATTTACTAACTATATTTTGTTCCAAATTAAAATAACAGACTAGAAAAGAACTTCTGTTTCATTAATATGTAAGTATAACCTATCAAAACGTGAAATAAAAATCCGAATTTTTTAGCTCATTTCCAAAAAATAAAAGAAAAAAAGCCAGACACAGAAGGGGTTAAAACTGAACATTAATTAAAAAATGTTTATTAATGACCTTTTAAACAGAAGTTATAGAATGCCACAGTTTCTTTGCTAGATTAGACCATGTCAAATTAATTGTGTTTTGTATTAGTAAACTCTTGTACTTCTTTTTAACTGCATCATAAATTTATAAGCCTAAAGCAGTAATCTTCAGGAAGCTCAGATGCAGTCAAGTGCAGAGAGGCAGAAGAAGACAAGACACAGAGGAACAAAAACAACTACAGAGTAGAAGAAGGAAATTACCAAAGTAAACCTTCCTTGATGAGCAAATGGAAGAAGTCTGACTACTCATCCAACCCAGGTACAGAGACATCTCGATCTAGCTACCTACTGATAATGGGAACCAGGTCCATGACTATACCAGCATTACCATCCAAGCAAGCCAAGATGCTAAGTAATTTTATCAAAAGACTAGCAAGTTTAGACCCATTAGATTTTGAACCAGTATTTTAAAGCAGCTGATCCTCTGATTCAGCCAGGTCAAACAAAAACATCAACTATCAAGAAGAGACCAAATAAATTCCTATCTCAAACAGAGCAAATAACTTGAAACTCCAGAGCTTCCCACAGCAAAGGTTACAGAGTACCTCCCACTATCATAGTAGAAGGGATCCCTGCAGAATACATTCAGGCCCATGATAGCCACTGAGCTGAGGAGTCTTTTCCCCAACATTACATATACAAACATAGTGACTCCAATGTTGGCATCATGGGAAGTCTTAATTATCCATGTGATGATGCCACTGTTGGAGTCATCATGCTTACATTTATGTTTAAGAAGGAAAATATTCCGTTATGCTCATCAGAACATTACTGAATGTCTCGTAATGCTCTTCAATCTAAATGATATCATTTCTCTCTCTCCCCTTTTACTTTTACTCTCTTCTCTTTTCTGCCTCTTCTTCTTCTTTTTCCTCCCATGTGACATCAAAATCATTTTCTAAACCAAGAACAACACAAAGAGGGATCAATTGATCTCTGAACATCCCTGGTTTTTCTAGACCTAAATATCTTCCAAAGAACATCAACTTCAGGAAGTTCAGCCAACTGCTAGTTTTTCTGGAACTGACTGGTTTGAAAGTTTTAAACTTTTTATTTAAATATGCATATATGTATAAAATACTTAATTACTGCAATAATTCTAAATGCAATAATACATTTACCACACATGTCAAACAGACTGTGAAATGCAAATATATTTGATTTTCTGAGGACATCCATCTTCTATTTTTTTGTCCACATAATTTTGCCATACATAAAATCAATTTGAAATGGCTTTAATATTTATTTTTACATATACTTATCTATGGATGAAAATGTGAGAACTAATAAATCAGGTTTTATTATGTTGTTATACTGATAAGCTACATGTTTGTAGGCAAAGGAGTTTAAAGCCAAACTTAATTTTAAACCCGCAGTTTTGAAAGCAACATTCTGATATTTGTTATTATCATTCATGGTTCTAGTTAAAATTTTCAACTGCTACTCATTTGAAAGTAAAATTTAAGACCACTAGTAAATTTCTGCTAGTAAGGAATAACCTACTACAGACAAAAATTAAGCACCTACTGATTATCAGCTTGTAAAATCAACATCTATGTACTTATGTTTTGCAGTAAAAATTTCTTACTAACAAATAAAAAAAAAATTATATTCAAACTTATTTTCTACCAATTTACAATTTTGTCAAGAAAGATTAAGATAGTGTATATTTATGGTTGGTTGTGAACATTTTTATAGTGATAACATAAATGGCATATAAATAATGTAAAGAAAACATCTCTGTATGTAAAATGTCTTGATGAAAGCAGGTAACAATTTTTGATTTCATAGCTCAAACAACAGCAGTTACTTCTGCTGTCCAGTGTTTCCTTTTACTGTGATATCAAGGAGATAGTATTTGTAAAAACAGGATTTTTCTAAGATGGGGAGATATTGTTTCTATTATGTACTTCTACTAATGTCAAAATATCAACAGACAATTAATTTTGACCTATATCAGGTCATGCTTTAAGTCTACATTTTAAAACATTTAAAAATAATAAATTAGTTATTTTGATCACATCATTTTTAAATATGATGAGTAGGACTTAAAAATTAACTTACAGTCAGTCATCATGTACTTATTGCATGAAATGATGTAACATAAACAGTGAAGACAAATAGTTTCAGTTAGTGTTAGAACTATTTTAAGGCAGTACACATTTAAGCACAAGAACTTCATTAAGGAACACTACAAATGAGAAAATCCAGAAGAAATCTAGAAAAATTATTTTAATAAGATTATGGTGTTCACATTCAAGTACTACATAATGAATTCACTGTGATTTTTATATTGGAAACTAGACTTTCAAACATCAGTTAAACATTAAAACACATGAAAGTTTATTTAAACAATGATTTAGACATATATCTTTTATTTGAAAAGGATGCTTTTCTACTGGTAAAATTTTATATGCACTTAGTGGGGTTGTGTTTTAGTCTATTGCTATACATTTTATATAGAGAATTGTAAATAAAGCAAGAAAACAAGGCTGGATATACTGTAAACATTATTTACTCAAACTACAAATCCCTATTTTGACTCCACCAAATATAATTCTAGGTAACAGCATGGGGCCAAAATAGAGGTCTGTAGTTTGAGTAAATACTGTCACAGTATCTCCAGCCTGGTTTTCTTACTTTTTTACAATCCCTATTTACAGGTTTTTAAATTCACAATGTTTTATTTATCATGCTAAATAAGCTGATATTGAATTTAAATTTTACAATAAAAAAAACAATAAAATTTTAGTTTGTTAATTCATTTAAAAACAAAACACTAACTAAAAATTACTATTGGTGAAAAAAAAAAAAAAGATAAATTCTAACCCTAGCACCACTTTGAGGTTGGAAATATTACAAATTAAAAACTACAGGGAATTATTTTTTCATTTAGCTAAAAGTTAACGTGATAGTCAGAGTTTTCTAAAAAAAATGTTTCAATTATTCCCATGTGTGAAAAATGAAGTAGGCAAACAGAAAAGAAAGTTAATTTTTTGGATAGTCAAACTCATATATATTGATTGTTCCCATCATAACATGGGATGATGAAACCATATCTGTCTGAACACTAAAGACCTCATTTGAAACGAGCATACACGAGTATTGTAATGAAAACTACACATTACTAACATTTACAAATTCTACCCTAAATGGATAAATTTCTAAATAATTGCTCTTTTACTTATAGTACAGAGAAGTGGTTATTTTATAAAAATTGAAACTATCTTTCAGAAAATTATTGTTGAATTTGAAACTGAAAACTACACATCAAACACTGAAACATTCATATTTTAAGACATTCAAAAGGAACCTTTTTTTGAAGGAATTTGCACTGAAACATTCATACTTTAAGACTTTCAAAAGGAACCTTTTCTTGAAGGAATTTGCACGAAAACATTCATACTTCAAGACTTTCAAAAGGAACCTTTGCTTGAAGGAACTTGCACTGAAACATTCATACTTCAAGACTTTCAAAAGGAACCTTTTTTTGAAGGAATTTGCACGGAAACATTCATACTTTAAGACTTTCAAAAGGAACCTTTTTTGAAGGAATTTGCACGGAAACATCCATACTTTAAGGCTTTCACAAGGAACCTTTTTTTTGAAGGAATTTGCATGGAAACATTCATACTTTAAAATTTTCAAAAGGAACCTTTTCTTGAAAGAATTTGCACGGAAACATTCATACTTTAAGGCTTTCAAAAGAAACCTTTTTTTGAAAGAATTTGCATGGAAACATTCATACTTTAAAATTTTCAAAAGGAACCTTTTCTTGAAGGAATTTGCTAAGTCTAAAAAAACAGAATATATTCTCTTTTTTGAGGAAATAAAAATACTGCAAAACTGACATCAATATCTTTCATATATATTATTAACTTGTATGTATAAAGCTTTCTTCACAGTCATGTAGGACACAAGCCAGAAGCTAAAACCAGTTTAAAGAATATACAAATCCACCCATAAGACTGAGCACTAAAATGTTAAAGTCTTTATTATAAAGCTTAAATTATGATTAAATTTTTTACTAGTAGAATTATTACACCGTAATGAGCTAAATATCTATAAAAGAATCTCTACTACTCATGCTTTTCATTCATTTAACTAAACAAATCTCCTTGTAAATAAACCAAATCAATAAACACATAACATTCAGCATGTCTTGGTAGCATAGAAGGAACTTGAGAGTGAAATCTGATATCCTGATAGTGAATATGTGTCCCAACAATAGGCTAATTTAGTAAAGACAGCAAATATCTGGCTACAACATCAAGTATTATGAAAGAGAGTATGGGTGAAATTCACCCTAGAAACCCACATAGTCCAAGCCTGTTTGGTAGAGTACTGATTATCTGTAAAGTACGTAAAACACTGACCTATGTTTGACAGAATACTGTGATTTTAAAGTGTATTGTAAGATTGTATCATGTTTCATATTATTTAGATTTAAAATTGTGCTGTGTCATTGTTTTATTTGTGATAGATTACCGTTTGATTATTAATTACAATTTGAAACAATCATAATATACTATGGACAATTTTAAATTCACACAGAAATGCACACAGTAGCATGCAACTATCATACATAGCATGAACAAAACCAGTGACAAAAAAAGCTGTTGCAAGAGTTTTACAATCAGGAAAAGAACCTTATTATCTCAACCACAAAAACGGAAAAGTTCTGTTACATAAAAAATATTTTTATCTCATTAGTAACATTAGCAATAACATTCTAGTTGGAAAATAAGTTAAAAAAGCTAAATGTATAGAATGGTAATTTGTTTTACCTTCAGATCATTAAGAGCTTCAGCTATGGCATGGTTGCAAGAAGTTTGTTGTTTATCAATCTGAATACTGTTACCCATGTTTTTCTGAAACTTTCGACACTGACTTGTTAACTGGGAAAAATTATTGGACACCAGCAAAAGCCCGTCAACCTTGAAAAAAAAAATCTTGCCTTCTAAGAAGTTTACCCACTTTTCACAAAACAAAATAATTGTCTGACATTAGAAATGAAAACAAAATTTATTGTGAATGCACTACAACTTATAGAAAAATAAGAATTTGAAATATCTTATTGTTTATAAAAATCTAACTAAAAACCATCAAAATATTAACTGAACTTAACGATATACGGAAAAATCACATCAACAACGACAATAAAAATATGCACTGTTTGAAGTACAAAACTTTATTTGCTACTGTGCCTAATGTGCATGTATGAACGGGCACATTAGTACACGTTTTAAAGGTTTATACAGAGCATGGGTTGATATTTCCTCAAAAATGTGAGGTAGAGAGGAGCTGTTAGAAAATAAAAATTGGTGAATTAGCTAAAAATACAGTTCTTAACCAAGTAAAATATATAAAGTTATCCTACACACACGCACACAGTGATATGGACCTTTATATTCCTTATTGGAAATAAATTTCACTTTCTGAACACAATCAATTTTCAGCTTAAACAAAGTGTACAGAGAACTAATATCACTAAAGGAAAGGAGAGAGAAAAACAAAAAAAAAGTGCCACAGTCACATTCCACATAATGTAAGATTAAAGAAAAGATTGATTTTTTTTACTACTGAAGTGATAAACAATCTTGCATTATGTTCTGTAATTTAAAAATAAAACTATTATAGGTTTTAACTCCTACTGCAGACAAGAAATATGAAATAAATTTAAATTATCTACACCAGTTTTTACCTTGCATGTATATGAAATGGTGTTAAAAAAACATTCAGCATGTACTCTCATTGAATTTTAATGCAGATGTTGGACTATTTCTATTTTACAGAGTAAACAATAAAATTAATTATGCTGTACTAGCAGAGTGAATGAATGTTAGTGTTTAAGTATTATGTAGTTTATGCATCTCATACAGTGAAGTTAATATTTCAACCGATGTTTTTTTACAGACTTAAAAACATATAATTCCAACTAAGCCCAATTTAATTCTCTTGCTATGGGTTCAGTCGATTCGACCTAAATCTTGACACCAATTTGACCTTTAGAGTTTCCATACTATAACTTTTAATATGTTTTATGTATCATCACAAAATTTTACAAGCTTTCACTAAGCGTTACAAGTTTATTGTGGACAAAAAAAAAATCAAAATTTTTAATATAACCCTTTTACTAAAACGTTTTTCGTGAAAACATGAAATAAAGCATTGACTGCTGCAAGTGCAAAGTGATTTTCATGTTAAGATTAAAAGTACTTTTCTTCATCTCAAACACCTCAAAATTTATTTGCATAATCTCTAAAACCTCCTGAAGACATTTCAAACATTTTTGTTCAGTAAAACTTTATTTTATCTGTTATTTTCTCTATCCTAACTCTATACACAATAAGTAAATTTGATTGACCTTGTAACCACCATAAAAATATGAAATAAATCTAAATTACCCTTTTTACTTTCTAGAATGACTGCAATTGTAACAAGAAACTTCATTTGTTTCTAGATAACTAAAATCTTGTAACAGTATACATCTGTTTCTACTTAAATGCTGTTTTATTGCCCTTTGAACCATGTCTAACTAATAATCCTGCCACACAAATTGTAAGTCACTTGGCAAACATAGCTGACATTATCCTATCAAATTACATAAGGTATGGGCTACTTGTGAGCATATCTCATGAAAAATTTTTATTATTATAATTTTTCTTTAACTTATCTAATCTAACCTGATTTAACAAATAAATTTCTATTTTTTTATATTTTACTTACTTTCTTAATAATAAATAAAGATATATAATATTTACTCAAATCTTCTTTTTTTGCTGTCAACTGTGAATGAAACTTAACCCTACTTATTTTTTGTACTAATAATACTACTACACTAAATATTTTTTTATTTATTTAAATAATGCACCTAAAAACCCAAAATAATAATACATAAAAAACTGAAATATGTGATAACTATCAATATTTCTGGCTTTCTAACTACATGATAAAAGCTGTTAAAACTTCAGCTAAGCTAGTCGATGTGTTTCCTCATTGGAATCAAGTTTGAACTGGAAGTGAACAGATAATTCTCTGTATAGAAATCAACATAATATAATGTCATTTGATAGATTAAAATATTGGATTTTTACTGGTTATAAATAATATAGTCAGAAAGAACTATTGAAATTTGTGCAAGAGGGGATGTGATAGGAGGATGTGGCAAGAAGAGTCTAATTTTCTATTCCATGCGTCTGGAACCAAATAAGATTGAAGGCTATAAAAATTATACTTTGCCTGAGTAATAACATTGTAATAAGTAATTTAGGTTAAATTCTGTACTTCTCAGAGGGGTGGGAAATAGAAGAGAGAGAGCAAAGGTCACAATTCTCATACCACAGTGAGATTGAGGAGTATATTAAATATTTCCTGATAAAATTAAGAACTTAAAACTTATATCATATTAAAATTTGATTTACTAACTATGTTTGTATGCCAAGTTTATTCATATATCATGATAAAGTAGTTGAATTAAATTTTGAATGTAACTTTCTAAAAAGTTAAAAAAGACAATTTTACCTGCCCATAGCAAAGGGGTTAACAAAGCAATATTTTGATGGACTTAATTCACATTATCTTTCTATAAGAACGTTCTATAATCCCTTTATATATATATAACTTCACAAAACATCCTTATTGCATGACTCATGAGTAAATGAAACTTAACATAGATTTCAGGGAACTGTATCTCTGCAAGAATAAAACAAATAATATTAGCACCTGGCATCTTGGTTAATAATGACTAATATTCAGGGTGAAAAATGGAATTTTCTCAATTGTTTTTCTGTTTGTTTGAAGTTAAGCACAAAGTTACAAAATGAGCTATCTGTGTTCTGCCCACCACAAGTATCAAAACCCAGTTTCTAGCATTGTAAGTCTGCAGACATACTGCAGTACCACTGAGGAGGATTTTCTGAATTAATCTGTTTTATAGCCTTCAGCATAGAAATAAAGCAACTACTTTTTTATCATATTTGGCTTGCAAAAGATAATGATAGTTTGAATAGCTATTTAATTTAGATTTGTGAGATTTGATGTGAAAACTTTGTAATAAATTCAAGATCGAGAAATTACATATATTTAAGAAAAATGTCTTTAAACTGTGTGTATATGCATGTGTGTTTGTGTACACACACTCATTATACATATGCATATATATACACACACACGTATACCAGCACACTATATTCCAAAGTTTATAATTTTACTGGATAGTCAACATGGTTTCTCTAAGGGAAAATCTTGCTTTACAAATCTTTTAACATACTTATGAAGATAAGGCTAAAAATGTAGATTTGGTGTATCTGGATATTCAGAAAGCATTTGACAAGGTGCCACATAAAAGGCTTGTAAACAATTATCTCTATAGGTGTGGGGGATAAGTTAGCAAATTGGATAGAAGAGGGTTGGATGGAAGAAAGCAGAGGGTTGTTATATATGGAGTTCAGTCTAACAGGATTAATGTCACAAGTGGAGTACCTCAGGGGTCAGTCTAAGGACCTTTGCTCTTTTTGATTTACGTCAATGACATAGATGAAAGAATAGTTAATAAATTACTTAACTTTGCACATGATATTAAGGTCTTGGATGTTGCTAGCTGTGAAGAGGACGCTGCTGATTTATAAAAGGATTTAGATCAGTTAGTGAGTTGGGCAAATAAATGGGA